TTCGAGCCCCGTATCTGGCTCTTATTGCAGAGATCCTCTTTCTGTGTGTGTGTCTCTCTATGCCCCTCCTTTGCTCTCTCTCTCTCTCAAAAATAAAGAAATAAACATTAAAAAAACCAACTCTATAAAAATTTCATTTAAATCCTTTAAATGAAAGTCAAGTCAATTCTGGAATCAGAATTATTTGAGATTCTTTGAGATTCTTATTTTTTTAATTTACTTATTTTGAGAGGAGAGGGCAGGGAAGGGCAGAGAGAGAGGGAGAGAGAGAGAATCCTAAGCAGGCTCTGCGCTGCCAGTGCAGAGCCTGATGCGGATCTCAGACTCACGAACTGGGAGATCATGACCTGAGCCAAAGTTGGTGGCTTAACTGATTGAGCTACTTAGGAGCCAGCCCCTTCCTGAGATAATTATAACATAAGGCTAAGAAAAGAAACACTGTTGTAGGTACTACTATTGTGTACTTTTATAGGCTCTGAAAATTCTATCAGATGTCAATGAATTGCCTTTTACTTTACATACATACAAAGTCCTTTCCAAGAGAATGCAAAAGCATAAAACCATGCTTCTAAGTCAGCACAGTTAGCTCATTCCATAAAGACAGCTCTCTCTCCTCTCCTTTGGTGTCCCTTTTAGTAAGGTGTCCCAGTGTTGGCTCCATAGTTCCTGAGACCCAGGAGGCTTCCTGGGCTTCTATTCTAATTCCCCATGCACTCGCTTAAGCTGTTCTCAGAGAATAGCTAACAGTTTTTACAGCGTTCTTGTGTATATTTAACCATTATTAAGGTTTTTCTCATCCCTCCATTCTTCAGGCTATACAAATCAATATGTATTTTAAAGATTTTACTTCTCACAAGATTTATTGCCTTTATCTTTAAGTCATCCTGATGAAACTTCCATTTCCATTAAATCTCCATATTGCAGGGCCCTAAGCAAGACCCCAGACTCTCATCGAAGCAAGAATGATACTCCATATGGTGGGAGGTGAATTTATAGTCTCTCCACATAAGCTCCTGATTTTATGTAGCAGCAGCAGCAGCAGCAGCAGCAGCAGCAGCAGCAGCAGCAGATTTGCTCATTTGTGATATTCTGTCAGCTGCCCCCTCCATAATTTATTTCTTTAAATTGCTTGTGAAAATCTTCCTCTTCCCAGTACCAGCTTCTCAGAGAAAGTATCTAATAAAAAATTTTAACATCTTCTGGTCATGCCATTGTCACAAAATCTTGTTTTTACTGCTTAATGGAGATAGTTCTTTAGTAGGGTTGTGAAGACAGGGGTTACCATACCATCACTGCTTTATAATAGCAATGACATGGGGCTTCTGGGTGACTCAGTCGGCCGTGTCCAACTTTGGCTCAGGTCATGATCTCGCGGTTGATGAGTTCGAGCCCTGCCTCGGGCTCTGTGCTGACAGCTCAGAGCCTGGAGCCTGCTTTGGATTCTGTGTCTCCCTCTCTCTTTGCCCCTTCCCCCACCTCAAAAATAAATGAATGTTAAAAAAATTTTAAAAATAGCAATAACAGGGCAAAGGGGTATTATAAAGCTCCTGTTTTTGCCAGCAGCTCATCCCCCACTTTGAGTGAGGAGAGAAGGTTTGGAAAGTTATATTTTTGCAAAGACAACAGCACAACCACAAGCCTTCCTGTCAGATTGCTGCCCTCAGCATCTCTGGTATTGAATTCTAGAGCTAACATTGAACGTGAGTCACGTTATTGGTTAGGATCAGTCTGGATTTATAAAAATGGGGGCCCCCAAAAACCTGTCTTGAGACCAAAATCTGTCAGTGTTTTGAGATATTTAAATGTAAACTATGAATGGTTTTTTCTCTTTGATGCAAATGAAATATGAGGTATTCTTTTCTGCCATTTCAGAGCTGAAGAGAGCTTATAAACCTACTCCCTTTTATTCAAGTACCAGTTCACGTTCTGGAAATATTTTTACTTTATTATAACCTTTTCTTGTTGAAAATTTATTACAGTTTCTTTTTGTTCATCCACTTGCAGCCTGCCACATATTGGAATGCCGCAGCGGAATGGCCCAAGATGTCATCAGCACCATAGGGCAGGCTTTTGAACTCCGGTTTAAACAGTATTTGAAAAATCCTTCTTTGAATACTTCTTGTGAAAGGTCAGCCAAGAGTTCTATAATTATTTGACTTGCTATATTTATTTTGCTGTATTTTCAAATTAATATGGCATTTTCAAACTGACTAATGAAATTAGTAAATTTTTTCTTACAAATAGGCAGTTTCAGTACAAACTAATAACGACATTTTCTATTTTTCTTTCTCTTGTATTTGTCCAGATATTTACTCTTGCTTTGTATCAAAATTAAAGGAGACACTCCAAGAAGGGGTCTTCCCTGTTTCTCTGATATCATACAGAGCTATGAATTAAGTAGTATCATAAAATAACAGATATCAAATGTGTCAGAATTGTTTCAATCCCAGATCCCATGCCTACCACTAAAAAAAATATATCGAGAGGTTTCTGGGTGGCTCAGTCAGTTAAGCAGCCTACTTTGGCTCAGGACCCCATCTCGCAGTTCATGAATTCAAGCCCCGTTTTGGGCTCTGTGCTGACAACTCAGAGCCTGGAGTGTGCTTCAGATTCTGTGTCTCTCTCTGCCCCTCCCCTGCTCATGCTTTCTCTCTCTCTCTCTCACTCTCTCTCTCAAAAATAAATTTTAAAAAAATTAAAAAAAATTTTTTTAAATAAAATTAAAAAAAATCAAGAATGAAGAGGGAAACAGTAGGAATCAAATGTCTATAGCAGGAATCGCTGTTAGTTTGCTAGTTTGCAATGTAAATAGATGAGTTCCAGTTAAACTGTGGCAGGGCTGGCAGGTGATGTGACCCAAGGATCTGGTTGTTCTATCTGAGGCGCAGAAAGTCTACAAGGAAAGCTGAGCCCTTCAGGCCTGACAGCCTCCAGCAGTGTAGAGTACAGTGAGCAGAATTCATACCCAAGAGACAAAACTCTTGGGTACTTTTAAATGCACCGCCCCCCCAGGTTAGTTACTTTGTGTATTAACAAACGTTGGGTTTGAAGATCTCCCTTTTTAAGGTGGTCTGGGGTAGCAAAGGAGAGGGGGTTACTAGGAAGCCTTGAGGTTGAATTTTTCCCAGGATAACACTTACATCCTAGTGCTATCACTTTGTTGGCAGGTAACGAACCCGACAAAACTGTGTGGCTTGTCAGTAGAATCAGTTCAATCCCAAAGGACTTGATTTATTCTTTTTCATAAGAAAGCTACTAATTCCAATTTGGAAGAAAAGTTGTTTGTTTTGTTTTTGTTTTTGTTTTTGTTTTGCCCTGTTTCGGTTTTTAAAACAATGCATGTTTACATAAATCTACCCACTTGCACATATGGTTCTAATATTTCTTCATGAATCCCATATACTTCTCCAGATTTGTGCAGACGAGATGGCTGGCCATAACTCTCTTATTTTTTTCATCTTAGTTTCACAAACTGGGCCAGGCCCCCTGCCCAATATCTAATTTTTTTTTTGAGCAAAACATTTCCAAAATGGTATAATCCAAACATGCTGAAGATACTCAGGAAAACTTTAATTTTGTATCCTGCTGACATAGATGACTTACATCAAGGAGTGTGTGTGTGTGTGTGTGTGTGTGTGTGTGTGTGTGTGTGTTTCTCTTAATCACTGGGAGGAGACACAAAAGCATCACCCTTGGCACTTTCCATTGGCTTGCCCCACTTTAATTGTCTATGGAAAGCTAAACAACCATCTGGTTGCTTCCATCCAGATATTTGACATCACTTAAGCACAGCTATAATTTTAAAACATGAATGCAGCATTTTTCAGGATGATTTGCATGGTTCTGATCCCTCTGCCTCCCCTACAGCATTTGAATTCCCACCCAGTCTCTTGGGGATTCTTTTTTCCCTTGCAGTGAGGAGGTGCCTCTTGATGGTCCTGCTGTGGAGAGAGAAGATCATGAGTATTACAATGAAATCCCAGGGAAGCAGCCACCTGCAGGTGGTGTTTCAGATGTGCGCATCAAAGTCCAAGCCACAGAACAGATGGCTTACTGCCCCATACGGTGTGAAAAGTTGTGCTATCTGGTAAGTAATGCTTTATGGTTACCGGAACTTAGCAATGTGATTCTGTCCTTGTCACTAGAGAGTTTAATTTGAGTTTCCAAATGCTAGCTTAGAGAAAGTGCCTTCCTCAGTACTGAGCCAGAGAATGAATCACTGTCGGAGCCTGCACTGGACCATTTTTACTCCAAATCCACCCCCTTCCTTACTGCCTAAGTGGATGACTTCACATCTCCTTTCACTGGGAAGATGAGGGCAGTCCAACATGTTACATTCAACTTCACCTTTCCTCGTCTCCACGTCTTCCCGTATTCTCCTTGCTTCTCGTCCTTAGCGACTGCCTTCACAGCCAATCCTTCCCCTGAGCTCCTGATCCCATCCCCACCTTCCAACTCTCTGCCCTTGTTCTGTCTGTCTATCAACCCCTGTCTCAATCTTTATTTTCTCTTTGTCTACCAGTATCTTCTGTCTGCAAATGAATTTGGATTCCTCCAACCAACTTACAATGTCTCACCTCCTTTTACCCACAAACTTCTAGAAACCATCATCTCCATCCCAGTTTTTGCATCAACACTATACTTCTAAGATCTGAATTCTGCTTGACAACTTGATAGAAATTACTTTTACAATGGTCACCAATGGTTTTTTGGTCACCGATGGTTTCATTGCTAAATCAATTTTCTTCTTCAATGTTCTGAGTCTGTCTACAGAATTTGATACCCATTGGCTGCCTCTCCCTTAATTTTAGAACTTCTGTTAGCTTCTAAAGCAGTTCTATTGTGTCATTCTCAAACCCCATCTCTAGTTGCTTCTTTTTTCTCATTTTCATGTCTTCCAACATTTTATTATGAATGTTTTCAAACACACAGAAAAGTTGAAAGAATTATACAGTGAACACTCACATACACAACCTAGATTCTACAATTATCATTCTACTGAATTTGCCCTGTCATCTTATAGAGCTGTTTCAAAGTAAGTTACATCTTTTCTTTTTATATTTTATTTTCTTCTACCCCCTCCCCTTCAAACCCCAGCCCCCCACCCTTTACCACCCTTGCTCTGCCCTTGGCCTTGCCCTTGGTTTCTCCTCTGGCATGCCACCTGTATACACAGTCTTCCAGCTTCTCTGTCTTCAGCCATCACTTATCTCTCCAGCTGTAGTGCCATAAGCATTACATTACTTGTTTATGTAAGATTGAATTCAGCATTTTCTCCTTGACTCCAAACCAGATTCCTCTAGTGACTTACTCATGTTTAATTAATGACACTGCTGCTGTTTCATTAATCTGCAGTCTTTTGTTTATCTCACACTTTGGACTCCATGTCAACTCAGTCTTCAAGACTGAAGATTCTACCATGAAATCTTTTGATAGAATTTACCCAACCTCTTACATTACTCTTGTACCTTTCTAAGTTCTGGCCTTCATGTGCCCAGATGATTCTGAAAGCCCCTTCCTTGTCTCCAGTTTCATTCTCTCAAACCCTTCTGCATGGTACTGCCGGATTAATCTTTCTAAAGGATAGATGTTGCCCTTCTCAAAGGCATCAGTGATCCCATTCCATTATTGAATTGTATATATCTATATATATCTATATCTACATATATCTATATCTATATATCTATATATGTATATTAATGCAACCCTTTGATGGATGACATTTTTAAGGATGGAAAGTGAGCCCGGCACAAACCTCATTAGAGTAGGGCTCCAATCTGCCAATGCACTGTTAGATAGAGGCTTGCTAAATACTGAGAATTTATACAAGTGTCCTGGAAATCACACTTTCACAGTTTCTGGCTGAGACTTGGATTGAGTCCTGGAATAGGACCTCCCTAACAAAAGCAGGGATGCTCAGGATGCGGGCCTTACATCAGCAGCCTTTACAACCACCTCTGCCTCAGACCCACCTCTGCAGCCCCCGCACAGTGCTCTATCTTAGGAGTCTATGTTCCCCATGCAAAATCTCACCTTCCTTTTGTTTCCTGTCAGACACTAACTATGTCAGAAAGTGGAGCTGTCTGCTGTATTCTTCCAGGACTGTTATTAGTGTTTTGTTTGTTTTTTTGGCAAGTTTATGAACGTATACCATGTTTGTAAATGTCTCACAATTTGTTGTTCGTGCAGCCTGGAAACTCCAAGTGCAGCAGTGTGTACGAGAACTGTTTAGAACAAAGCAGGGCAATAGGTAGGTACAATTGTCCTTCCCCATCTGCCACTCTTGTTGTTCCTTGTAAGTCATATGGTTGTGTGTGGCCTTGGCTCTGAAATACTTCATGGGAAAATCAGGTGTATAATGCTTCAGCTGCATCCCACGTTCTGAGAGGCCCAGAATGCCACGTGTGTGTCACTTGGGAGACTCATGGTTTCCCCTCACTCTTGTGTGCTTGACCACACTGTCATTCTACCTCCTGAGGTCTTTGATTGCTTTAACATCATGAAAAGTCTCACTGAAAAGGTGTTTTCTCTGCTTAAAACTCAAGACAGCTCCACTTCAAAGAAGATCAGACATTAAGCTAATGTGAAAATTGATGTTTGTCAAGTCCATTAGGATTAAGATAAAACCTTTTTTGTCTGCTTGGCATCGAAAACAAAAAGAAATCTGAAAGGTGAGAGTCCCAGTTAGGGGCCAACTACCCCACGTTTCCCAGGGCATTCAGTGTCTTATTACTGGATGCAATAATTGATGTGGGGCACAACTTTTCCACAATGCAAATGTAGAACATCACCTCTCAGATTGGAAGTATGTTTTTATAAAATTTTGCTGCTAGTTAGTTATTTAATACTTATAAATTGCTGAAAGTACTTATTTCTTTGGGAAGCAAAGTTTTGCAGCATTAGAGGAGTGGATAACTGGATGATATAAATAATACTGTGGGGATAAAGTTGGATAACCACACTTAGGGACTCAAATTAGCAGGAACTTGCCACCGACAAGGTAGTCACCTCCAAGGATACTTGCATGCTTCTTACGGAATTATGCCAATGTAATCTATTCATTTTATTATTTCTTATACACAGGGGATACATGAGGATTTATTGTTTTAGGTACAGCTGTGATTACTACCTTCCTCTACCATGCAAAAATAGTAGGAGTAGTGAACTAAGACAGTATTGTTAATTATTTAAAAATATGGTTCCTTTTTAAAAATTTTTTTAATATATGAAATTTATTGTTAAATTGGTTTCCATACAACACCCAGTGCTCATCCCAAAAGATGCCCTCTTCAATACCCATCACCCACCCTCCCCTCCCTCCCAACTCCCCCCATCAACCCTCAGTTTGTTCTCAGTTTTTAAGAGTCTCTTATGCTTTGGCTCTCTCCCACTCTAACCTCATTTTTTTTTCCTTCCCCTCCCCCATGGGTTTCTGTTAAGTTTCTCAGGATCCACATAAGAGTGAAACCATATGGTATCTGTCTTTCTCTGTATGGCTTATTTCACTTGGCATCACACTCTCCAGTTCCATACACGTTGCTACAAAGGGCCATATTTTGTTCTTTCTCATCGCCACGTAGTAGTCCATTGTGTAAAAAATATGGTTCTTTTTGATAGACATTAAAATTCCTTGCCATTCTTTAAAGTTACTTAGAATTTTAACCTTTTAGTAATGTGACTACAACAAATTAATGGTAAGTAAAAATGTGTTTTTACAACTGTGCTCCCTAAGATCTGTATTCCTCCCACCTTCCCTCCTTTTCCTTATTTGGAAATCCCTAACCTACGGGTTTAAAAGTCAGGAACCTACCACATGTGCCCTGTAATATTATAATCATTTTGTACCTGTGCTGAGGCTCACTTGGAAATATCTCCACATGCTCTTTGATCTCATTCTATATTCTTCATTTATTCAACACATCATCTGTGACTACAAGGACCTCTTTAGAGTCTGGCGCTGTTCTAGGCGGCAGGGATGGAATCACAACTGGTACTCATATCATCTGTAGTTTAACAAGTAAGACACACCTAAATCAAATGCTTACAAATAGATGGATGTTTCAAAGCCTAAGATGTTATGGGAACAAATACCAGGGAAACCTAACTTAATCTGAGGGGCTCTATGGGTGTCTAGGTTGCACAGTAGTTTAAGCATCCGACTTGCAGCTCAGGTCATGATCTTGAGGTTTGTGGGTTCGAGCCATGTGTTGAGCTCTGTGATGACAGCTCAGACCCTGGAGCCTGCTTCGGATTCTGTGTCTCCCTCTCTCTCTGCACCTCCCCTCCTCACCCTCTGTCTCTCTCTCCCAAGAATAAATGTAACCTTTTTTAATCTGAGGGGCTCTAGGGGGTCTCCCTAAACTTACCTCTACAACAAAACAACCAAACCAGGACCTGAGGGATGAATGGGAATTATCCAGGCATAGAGAAGGAAATGGGAAAGGAGGGGAGAGAGAGGGAGAGAGAGAGAACAAACAGTATGAGTGGGAACCAGCATTCCTGGTTTTTCTGGAATGTGCCAGGACCACTTCCCAGATCATTGCACAGAGAGAGTATGGAAGCGAGATAGATGAGTCTTGGACATAGGATAGAACCCTGAGGAACATTTATAAAGGAATTAATAGATATAGAGGTATTGTTTCAATCTTATTTAAGACATTTCTTTTTGTAAGTGTAACCTTGTCATAGAATCCAGTTTATTGTTTCTATTTACCTTGGTTTTATTTCTCCTTTAAACCAACAAACGATGTAACCCCTTATTCTTTCATGGTTTCTATATGCCCTAAGCCAATATAAGCAAATCCAAACTTATGAACAGACTTTTTTCATAAACCTTTATTTGGAGTCTGGAACATATTTTTCTAGAATTAATTCCAGAATTAATTTTAGCCATGATGGCTATCTCCTAGATAAGTACACCACGTTCTACTGTTCTGGTTTGTCTGTACTGAAGCTTAAATGTATATTTTGTGATGACAAACACGCCAATAGAAAATTCTATAGTAAGTGCCTGTTCTTCAGTTGCACTCTGACTGTGGGATAGCCTGGAACCAGTACAGAGCTGCCTTCCTTGTGGTGGCCCTAAGGTAACAGCTCATAGCTGGGAACCTTTAAAGATCTTGGGCTGGTGAGAGATGGTGTTTGTGGTTTTGAAAAAGTCCTCCAACTGCATACTTTCTTCCCCTGAAAATCATGGAGCTATAACCTTATTTCCTTAGGAAAGCAGGTTCCAGGGCGCTTGGGAGGCTCAGTTGGTTAAGTGGCTGACTTTGGCTCAGGTCATGATCTCGCAGTTCATGGGTTTGAGCCCTGCATCGGGCTCTGTGCTGACAGCTCAGACCCTGGAGCCTGCTTCGGATTCTGTGTCTCCCTCTCTCTTGGCCCCTCCCCTGCTCACACTCTATGTCTCTCTCTCTCTCTCTCTCTCTCTCTCTCTCTCTCTCTCAAAAATAAACAAGCATTAAAAACTTAAAACAAACAAACAGAAAAAGGAAAGCAGGTTCTAAGTTCCATCAGGGACCCAGAATGCTAGGAGGGATTGAAGGACTTGACCCTTGCTCCACAGGCCACAACAATCAAGGCTCCTCCTATTGTGGTAGGAAGGACTTTAGTACTACAATGTCCATTCATTCACAGATACCCAGAAATCAGATGTTCCTATCTTGAGGCCTGCCTGTGACTACTTGGGCATATGTTGAAAAACTGATCTGAGGGACGCCTGGGTGGCTCAGTAAATTGAGCATCTGACCTTCGATTTCAGCTAAGGTCATAATCCCAGGGTCAAGGGATTGAGCCCTGCGTCGGGTTCTGTGCTGAGTGTGGAGCCTGCTTGGGGATTCCCCCTCTCTCTCTCGCCCCCCCACCCCTCTCCCCTGATCACACTCTCTCTCTAAAAATAATAAAAATAAAAACTGATCTGAAATTCTTGACCAGTGAGCAATTTAATAGCAGTTGCCAGAATAGCAAATGCATAATTTTTATGGCTTTTCCTAGAGTTTTAGACATAATCATTTGAGAAACACCTATGCAAATATTTTCAATAAGGTTTGGCTTTTTCCTCCCAGGACATTTATTTGTTCAAATACTGATTTAAAACTTGAATTCCAGTATATTATAAATACTGCGATAGGCTTCTGGTTGTTCAAGGAGTTAATTATATTTATCACCAGACTTATAAAAGATACCATTTCTTAATATTAAATTCCCTTATGGAGAAAATTAATTAGTAAAACAGAATAATGTTTCCCAGACCTCCAAGTTCAAATGGAAATATTGATATTTTTAATCAAAAAGACATTAAATTGCCACAAACCCTAAGGGCCTGTACTTAAAAAACTTTGGTACTTACAGTGTATACCCTGTGTATAGTATGTATTTATTTTTTGCCACAAATCTTCTCTTAGGCAGCTTGGATAGGTTCTCAGAGTAATACTTGGCAAAAAGAAAGTTTGGAATGCATAATGGTTGTCATGTGTGGTTAAGCTCTCATCAACCACACACTTTAGCCAAGAAAGATTTTTGGGTATAGACTGAAATATAATAATAATATAATATAATATAATATAATATAATATAATATAATATAAATATATAATTTTTTTTAATTTAAGGCAACATTGCTGAGTTAAATGAAATAGTGCATTAAAAAAAAAAAAGAGGAATGGTTGTTTTCAAGAGACACTGGATTTAGATATTGATGCTTTTGTATAATCATATGGGATGGTAAACCTGATGTGGTCGGCTCATGCCATACTCTGTGAGGGGCAGACGAGTCAGTGCCTTGTGCTAAAGGTTGACTCAGAACGTGGGTCAAATATGCTGAGAAAGGAAGACCAAGTGGACATTCATTATCTGTTTGTTCAGCTGACAAACATGAGCACCTACTTCATACCAGTCATTGAAGATGCAGAGGATACAACAGATAAATGGGTTCTAGTCTCTCCTTAAGCACTCAAGGAATTTGCAGTTTCAAGGGGAAGACAGACAGACAAGTAAACAGATACCTATAGTATGGAGGGCACTTGACCCGGCCTGGGGGAGGGAAGGTCTAAGGGGGAGGCTTCTTCTTTTTCTTTTTTAAAATTTTTCTTAATGTTTATATAGTTTTGAGAGAGAGACAGGCAGAGAGGGAGAGAGAGACAGAGTGTGAGTGGCAGAGGGGCAGCAAGAGAGGGAGACACAGAATCTGAAGCAGGCTCCAGGCTCTGAGCTGTCAGCACAGAACCCAATGTGGGGCTTGAACCCATGAATCGTGAGATCGTGACCTGAGCCAAAGTCTGATTCTTAACTGACTGAGCCACCCAGGTGCCCCTTCTTTTGTTTTTAATGTTTTTGTTTATTTATTTTTGAGAGGGAGAGAAAGAGAGAGCCTGTGCACATGAGCACAGGGGGTGAGCAGAGAGAGAGGAAGAGAGAGAATCTCAGCAGGCTCTGCACTGTCAGCACAGAGCCTGACACAGGACTCAAACTCACAAACCATGAGATCATGAACTGAGCCAAAAACAAGAGTCAGATGCTTAACCAACTGCGCCACCTATGTGTCCCTAACGTGGAGGCTTCTTGAAAGAGATGGAATCTTAAAGGACAAATAGGAGTTAGGTACAGAAAGGGGAGGGAGGATATTGCAGCAGGAGAGAAGTACCATGTGCAGAGCCCCAGCATCAATGAACACATGTAACTGAGCAGATATTAACTATTTATCGAATCCCTACTACATCCCTATGAGGCAGGCACCATTCTCAGTAAGTGTCTCATCCACGTTCTTTCATTTAGTCCTCACAACCATGTTTTAAGCTAGGCATCCCCATATTACAGATACGAAAACTGACGCTTAGGGAAGGTAAATAACTTACCCCAAACCATACAAACAGTAAGAAGTATCACAAGTATTTGAACTCAGGTCCATGTTGATTTTGAAGCAGACCTCTTACCACAGTTTTTCTTTGATGTTTATTTATTTTTTAGAGAGGGGGAGAGAGAGAGAACGAGTGGGGGAAAGGCAGAGGGAGCAGGAGACACAGAATCTGAAGCAGGCTCCAGGCTCTGAGCTGTCAGTACAGAGCCTGACGCAGGGCTCGAAATCGCAGACTGTGAGATCATGACCTGAGCCAAGATTGGTCGCTTAACCAAATGAGCCACCCAGGTGCCCCACAACACTTTGATCATAGTCTGCTTTCAGTACATTTTTATGAGCAGGCACTCCTAAATAAATGATAAACCAATCATGTATAAGTTATATACACATATGCTAATATGTTATGCATGTGTCATAAAACATACACAAGGGGTGCCTGAGTGGCTCAGTCAGTTGAGCATCTGATTCTTGACTTTGGCTCAGTTGATGATCTTACAGTTCATGAGTTTGAGCCCTGCACTAGGCTCTGCACTGATAGCATAGAGCCTGATTGAATTTCTGTCTCCCTCTCTCTCTGCTCCTCCCCCGCTTGCTCTCCCTCCGTCAAAAAATAAATAAAAATTAAAAAAAATTTAACACACAGATGAAAATAGAAAATTTCAAAGTTAGAGTTAATGATAATAAACATTTTTTAAATGCCTTGATAATTACAGTGGCTGAATACTATCGTTAGATAATATCTCAGGGTCCAATATACATTTAGCGCATTTACTGATAAAGAAAATAGACGTATGTCCACATTTCAAATCCTGATAATTTTAACTTTTGGGAGGCCAAGTTCCTATCTAATTAGATCATTCTTGTTTATAAGCTCATAATACAGCCAAGGAGGAGTTTGTAATAAGAGTAAAAGAATGACCTTCAATCTTTGATATTTGCGGTGATCTTTTAGTCACTTGTCCATTTATGGACGTAAGTTTAAACTAGATAACATAATTCATAAACCCACTTAACCAAGCAAATGGACACTGCCATATGTTGCACAATGCAACAAAGAAACGAGGTGCCCTGACCACCCCTCCTTCTTTAGAAATCTCACTCTTCCCTCAGGGGTATGACAGGGGACACGGTGATGTGTAACAGCTGGCAGACAGGCCAGGAGGAAAGGAGGAGTAGGTAGTAAGCCTGTAGCCCTCTGACTGGGCTTCCCCTGTTTGGTGTGCCCTTGGGTTTCCATATTTTATGTTATAAAAATTGTAGCGCTGCTCATCATGATGTGAAATCCAGTATAAAGCTGGTCCTTTCTGAACCACATCCAGGAGTTTAACGACTGAAGCAATAGAAAAACTGATGTTTTATGGTAAGACAATGGAATGTCAGTGTCACCACTTCAGATCAGCCTGGTGGTGATCTTGTAACACATCTGGCCAAAAATATAAATGTACCTGTTTAAATGGAAAAACAAAAATATTCTATCCTGGCTTTCTGAGGACAGAACCATCTGGATGGTACAAAATACTTCATGCACCAGGTACTGAAATACGGTGCTAATATCCATCCATTCAGTAACTGTTTTTTGTCATATGTGGCAAGCATGTGTTAGGAGGCAGGATCTCTGTCTTCATGGAACACGCAGTCTAGATGTAGTACAGGTATTAAACAAAATGACAGAATTATTTGCTCTTGTGATATGGCCTTCAAAGGTGAACAAACTTCTAGGAAAGCAGAGAGACTTAATCTAGTCTGAGAAGGTCAGAGAAAGCTCTGTTGAGAAAAAGATGTTTAAACTGGTGCCTGAAGGGTGAGGGTGATGGAGAATGGTGAGGGAAAAGCATGTCAATCAGAGAAGATGGCCTTAAGGTGGAGATTAGCCTCCAGGAAGGTCAGTGTGACTGAGGAGCACAGGGGTGCAAGGGAAGCTGGGTAGCCAGGACCAGGGCTTGGGGCTTGTTGGAGAGTTTGATCTGTATCCAAAGAGCAATGGGAAGCAGGTAAGGGGTTTTTAAACCGCTGAAAAATATTATCAGGTTTTCAGTTGTAAAAAGATCATTTTGGCCACAGTATATGGAATAGAATGGAAGAGGAGGGGACAGAGTAAGAGGGAAAAAGGAGATATCCTGAGGGGTGAGTTCTTCTTTCCATTAAGTGCCAGAATAAATATCAACAGTTGGTTCAAGGCTGAGCTTGGCAAAACAAAACTTTGGACATAGGGAGAGACAGACTTTCCATTCTTAATAATTATGTAATGAGTTTTTTGAAAAGCAGTTTATTTACTTATTTATTTTTTATTTTTTAAATTTTATTTAAATCCAAGCTAGTTAACATATAGTGTAATAATGATTTCAGGAGTAGAACCAATGATTCTTCACTTACATACAACACCCAGTGCTCATCCCAACAAGTGCCCTCTTTAATGCCCAGCCCCCATTTAGCCCCTCCCCACACCCACCTCTCCTCCAGCAACCCTTAGTTTCTTCTCTGTATTTAAGAGTGTTTTGTGGTTTGCCTCCCTCTCTCTTTTTATCTTATTTTGAAAAGCAGTTTAAATAATAGATATTCAAGTTCTGTATGGCACGTGTGTTTTCTTGGTTCCTGGACTGCGGCCTTGAGCAGTGTTGTGTGCGGTTTGTGCTGTTTGCTAGACAGCTGGCTCCCTTTTTTCTCTGGCTGTTCCTCTCCTGGGTCTTCCTGATTTGTTTCGTGTCTGGTGTTGAAGCGGTGGGTCAGCAGAGGGATGGGGAGGGAAGGCCTGGGAGGCCAAAGAGATGGTGCTTTCCTTCAAATCCTGGTGCTTACCTTGTTTTTACAGGTCAAATCTAGAGGTCAGTATTCAAATCTGTATAGGATGAGGGTGGCTTTTCCCTTCCTATCAATTCTAGACTCAAACACAATTTTACGTGTTGTTTACAAAGTAAAAACGTGATCCATTGATCATTAACTAATCACTACAGGTAACGCACAGGAGAGAGGAGGGCAGTGCCAACGAGATGCCTCATTGATGAAGCACACGTGTCGAGTGGATTTCCTCAATGACCCCTGCTACATAAATACACAGGGTCTTCAAAGTACACTTGGCTCTTCCCCAAATCAAAGCTCAGCTCACTCCCTGGGGAGCCCGTGGCACCGTCAGAGTAAGTAGCTGTTCGCCATCTGTATTAGTTTCCTGTGGCTGCTGTAACAAATCACCACAAACTGAGTGTCTTAAAGCAGTGAAAATTTATTCTCTCACAGTTCTGGAGGCCAGAGGTCCTCAATAAGACGTCAGCTGGGGTGGTTCCTTCTGGAGGCTCTGGAGGAGGATCCACTCCATGCCTCTCTCCTAGCTTCTGCTGATGGCTGGCAATTCTTGGTGTTCCTTGGCTTGTGGACACATCAGTTCTCTGCCTCAGTCTTCACATGGCCTTCACCTCCATTCTCAAACCTTTCTCTCCTGTCTCTTCTAGGACAATCCCTTTCTCTTCTAGGTGAGCCCTAAAGCCAGGAAGATCCCATCTTGCAATCCTTAACTTAATTACATCTGCAAAAACCCTTTCCCCAAATTAGGCCACATTCATAGGGACTGGGGATCAGGATCTGAATGTATCATTTTGGGGGGGCCACTATTCATCTCACTATACTGGCTCTCATTTTCAGGAAGACTATTTCCTTGGTCTCATTTTCAGGGAGCAAAAAGGATTCTTTCTTACCTCAATCTTGTACCACAGTTAATTTGGGAGATATTATGGATTTCAAGGTTTGGGGTCTTTGATGTTGAATAATCTTTTCAAATACTTTAAACTGGGTCCCAACTTTTGGTTTTGGCTGTGTGCTCTTGCTGAAGGAAGGATGGTCAAAGCCAGGAGATAATTTTGAATTTGTGGGCTTGTGTGAGGAACAGTGACCATTATTTGGCTCTGTTGAGTGATGGTTTTAATTTTATTCATTTCGAAACTCCTTGGTAAGTCATCTATGGAACACTAAAATAAGATGGCTTCTTTCTTCAGCCATATACTGTGAGTTAAATGCAATAAGACAGATATCATTTTCCTGCTAAATTGCTTCCAGGAAAAATGCATACACAGTAACATAAATAAATAAAAGCAAAACAAACCAAAAGCCTACGATCAACTAATAAATAAATAAATAAATAATGCTTTTTATAAAATATTAAAGTGTGTTGGGTTCAAATTTGGGTGAACCACATTTGGTTCACTCCAAAGATGGAGAACCAGTCCTTTGGAAAGTCCTTTCGCTAGCCCAGGAAGTCTCTCCAAAAGGCCAAAGACAACTTTCCAGCTAGTGTGAGCAGTAACAAGATGAAGTTTAGAAGGAGATTTTGCTGAGCCGGGACTTCACCAGACCACCTTAACTCCTAGACCAAGAAACAGACGTCCTCATTACCAGCCAGGTGACAAGTGAGCCATCTTCTTGCAAGCTCTCTGTGATCAGTCTTGGCACCTAAACAACCTGGTTGGGTTCTCTGGAAGCAAACACTGAGATGGAGCTTTGGCATGCAGGGTACTTGTTGGGATCACTATCGGGAAGGGAGGGGGAAGAAGCAGGCTTGGGCAGATGGAGAAGCAGAGTCACTGTGTAGCCCTGACGGAGCCTCAGCCAACCCTACAGGGAGAATAGGGGGCGCGTCAGGGCTGTGCCACATTGCGCCAAAGGGCTGGGCCTTTTATCCCATTTATTTCAGTCTGTGGGTGTAGGCCACACGAGGGAGGGCAAGCCTTTGGGCAAAAGGCAGCTCCCTGAAGGTGAGGCAGACCCTCAAGGGGCGGTCAGCTGGAGGCTGGCTGATGACACCTGGGGCACCTGTCTTTCATTGAAGAGCCATCTGGGTGATACATTTTGTGTGATGGATGATGGAATATGCAATCAGTTCAGATTTCTGCAGTGGATTTAACAGTCCATTGTACAGTGACCGGTATGGATGAGGTAATACTTGTTAGGGGAGGTAGTTTTTTGAAAAAAGTTTCTGGACCTCAGGTATTAAAACTAACTTGATAAGAGTATATGCTTGATGGCTTCCATTTCATGGACTTTTCAAAGCAACAGTGTATTATTATAAAACTCATTTAGGGGCACCTGGGTGGCTCAGTCAGTTACGCGTCCGACTTTGGCTCAAGTCATGATCTCACATTTCGTGAGTTCGAGCCCCCCATCAGGCTTTGTGCTGACAGCATGGAGCCTGCTTGGGATTCTCTCTATCTCCCCCTCTCTCTCTGCCCCTCTCTGACTCATGCTCTCTCTCTCTCTTTTTTTAAATATGAAATTTATTGTCAAATTGGTTTCCATACAACACCCAGCGCTCATCCC